TTTAGAATGATCTACATGCATTTGAAAGCAATGTGCATCCTACAGTTGTCGGATATGGTTCTCTCTCTCTCTCTCTCTCTCTCTCTCTCTCTCTATATATATATATATATATATATATATAAACTAGGTCAAGTTGGTTAATTATATTTTAAAATTTGTTCTCTCCTTGCCCTGATCAGTTCAGTTACAAAGAGAAGTATGTTACAATCTGTTACTAATAGGAGTTTGTCTTTTTAAAATTTCTGTTAGTCTTGCTTCATTTATTTTGCTATTATATTAGATGCATTCACATTTAGGAGTGTTATACTTTCTCGCTGAATTGTCTGTTTTGTCTAGGCATTCTTAAATAACCTGTTGAAGTCTTATAGTAGTTAACGACTTATAGGTTGCTGTTGGATAAACCAGTATGATTCACTATGACTCCATGCATAGTTGAAGGAGAAGCTGTGCCACTCCCATGATTGACTATAGATTGGATCTGTTGGGTTTTCATTGACTGATTTTCACCTTTCCTAATAGACTGAATGATTACTTTGTCAAACATATCCATACTAGCATTTTTATTTTCCCCTCCTCAGTGACTGAGGAATATGGTCAGATCTGTCTTCCTCTGTATTTTTACTTTTTTTGAGTCCTTAATATTTCACCTTATAAGTAAAAAGAAGAACTTTCTTTTTTTTGTTTTTTATATTGTTGGTCCATTTCTGTTGAATTCTGCCAGCTACAAACATCTTTATTAATAGGATTATGAGTTTTCAAACATCTTTATCTTTCCTTTTTTCCTTTATGATATTATTATTGAGTTTTTGGCAAAAGTTCACATAGCAACTTAGGGTTCTATGTGAAAAATTCCATACAAATTGTTCCGTGACATTGTTTACATCCAGCACATGTGTCAACATTCTCCTCTTTAATTATGTTTTGCTCGTTATTTTTCAAGTACTCCATTATCTTCTCTTTTGTTTGTTTGTTTTTTTTAAAGAAACTGCTGACAGTACTGGTAGAAAGGGTAGCAACCTTTTTTTTTTTTTTTTGTTAATCTTCTTGGTACCACTGCTATTTGGGGGGTAGATTAGATTCTAGGTTTAAGAATATTTTGGGGGCCGTCTTAGAAGTCCTCTACTCTTTCCGTTCCAGTTTGTCTTTGCTCCCATTGGTAAGGTGTATTTGGGATGATTATAGACTTCTACTTTGTAGTGGCTTCCTCCTCTCAGAACTCCCAACCAGAAGCAGGGGGATATTTCTTGTATTGCTGTGCCTCTGCGCGCCTGGCTTTTCTGTGGCTGCTTT